TGATCATAACCCAACCTTAAAATCAACAATTAATCAACAAGCAAAGAAACTCACCTTTGAGCTTGGAGATACGGGAGGAGGAAGAAGAAGAAAGAAAACTCTGGAGAATTCTCTCATTTCCCACGTGGTTCCCTTATCTTATAAAAGGAATATAAAAATTTTCCTTGTCAAATGACAATTTTCCCCTTTAATTCCTTTAATAATTACTAACAACTTCTAGGAAATATTTCCATATAAATCATTGAACTATTCAATTATTCTACTTTAATCACCAAATTCTGAAACATTTCAATTTGGCCACTAACCAGGTATTGAGGATGTTACATGTTCGTGTTTCAAAGAGGAAGAATATCAGTAGATGTGAACTAACAAAATACAACGGTCCCCATACATATTATGCACAATAGATTAACCAGGACCATCCAAACTTGAACTTCAACGTGATTTGCCAAGCCACCATGCCCTTGGTCAGAGCAAGCTACCACATACCTATTGTGGTGCTAGTTTCTGCAATACAATCTCAATATGGGTACACTGCCTTCTACAAAAAGCATGAAAGGCAAAACATAATGCCATTATAAAATTACACGACGAATGAGATTAATGTAAACCCATAATATATTAATTCAGTGAAATACTGTAAACCCGTTATCCAAATTGATGATACATTCTTGTATGGAAAATGCAAGCAAGTTTTATTATTGGCAGTTGTCCAAGGTGATAATCATAACATTCTTCCTGTTGCCTTTGCTCTTGTTGAAGGATAAGATACAAAGTTTTGGGCCTTTTTTCCTGAGAAATCTACGGTTACATGTTATCACGAGGGAACATATTTGTATCATTTCAGACCGAGGAACTGGGATCAAAGCAACAATAAATTCTTTGGGTCCAAGTGAAAACCCTTACACATTTAACATTGTCTTTGTATCCGACATATTGCTGCAAACTATCATGGAAGATATAAGAAGAATGATGAACAACAATTAATTATACGTATGAGTATGTTACATTTTTCCCAATTTTATTTTTCACTCATTTTCATTTTTTTATACTAACTACTTCATTTCGCTTAGGTTATGAACTCTCACCTCAAACGTTTGAGGTTATGCTTCAAGAATTACGAGGAAAAAATAAACATAGATGCAATTGCATCAATGAAATCCACAAAGAAAAGTGGATAAACACATACGATGGTAGATATCGATATGGACATATAACAACCAACTTGGGTGAGATAATCAATTCAACCTTAAAGGGGACATGTCATTTACCACTAACTGTTTTGGCTAAAACGACGAATTTTCATTTGGGTTAACTTTTGGTTGAGACAAACTCTTACTTGGATATAAAACGGTCATGTTTATCACCAACGATAAGTAGCAGATCTACAACAAAAGGTTGCAGCATCAAACCACATTTTCATAATAAGTTTTTCTCGCAACGAATAATTATTTCGGGTTATAAAAATTCCACAACCTTTGCAAGGGATTGAATCTAACTCTTTCAGAGTTAATCTACGAGATAGATACTGTGATTATGGGTTTTTTCAAGCTTTGAAGTATCCATGCTCTCATGTCATAGTAACTTGCTCATTTTCTCGTCAAGACTGTAAGTGTTATGTGTATCTCGTATACCAATTTTCACAAGTATTCAAGGTATATGAATATGAGTTTCCCCATAAGTAATGATAAATACCCAAATGAGGTTCATACTTCGTTTCCAGTTATACCATATCCGAACTTATTAAAGGAACAGGTCGTCTAAAGTCCACTCGAAATCATTGCGATATGGATATTCGACAACGTTAAAACAAAACTTAAGATGTGATCATTACAGAAATCCCGACCACAATAGGAGAAACTGTCTATCTCTTTCATCATCACGTAACCATTGACCACCACTCATGTAATCATATTTTCTAATGTTTCAATTTATGTTATTTGATTTTCTTTTATTTTCAATTAATGTAATTTCAACTTGTTTATTTTACAAGATGACCATGTCGTCTATCTATATAATTTTCCAATTAAATGTTTAACTTTTATTTCTTACAATCTAACATATAATCAATTTTAACCATAAACTTCTTTAAAAACCTTAAACCATGCAAATATAACACCATAAACCACTAAAAACCCTAAATCCAATTACAAACCCATTATAAAACCCTAAAATCACTTTAATATAAAACCCTAAACTAGGCATAAGAGGTACATTCCGTACGACGCACCATTCAAGGGAGGCAAGTTCCCTAGGATGCATCATTCATAAAACCAATGGAAGATGCGTTTCATACAACGCGCCTTCCATCCCCCCGACTAAGGTGCGTCTCTTGCCATGCGCCTCATTCTCTCTCATGAAAAAAAGTGTTGGACTGATAAATAGTTAGGAAAATGTGTTTAATAGGCAATATTTTTCTAATAGGGTGATTTTTTGGCCAAATTGCCTTTTTTACAACGTTTTACCCAAAAATCACCTAAATATTATAGTATTACATGTCAGAAACCATTACCGATAATAAGACACGTTACCTGAAACACATCTTTACTTAGGTGGGTCGAAGGCATGTCTCTTGGAGCACGCTTTCCAGGGGAAATATTGATATAGTACCATATAGGATTGCATGTTTTTGAGTTAAACGATCAATGGAATCGACCAAGATGGGTGAATTGGCAATTAAAATTTTGGTTGAGGCTTTTGCAGAAAATTGAAAGTAATTGCACAGTGATTTAGAGTGGTTCGACTTTCTCAACCAAAGTCTACGTCCATTACCTTAGCTATCCACACTTAGGATTTCCCAACAAATTCACTAATTTGTTCTTTCTTTTGAGGCCAAAGAGATAACCTTACAACTCCCTCAAGAATATACCCCAATTCGTGAAGAACACTCTTTCTCAAAGAGAAGATTACAAATTTGCAAACTTACAAGGAAATCCTCACAAGGTAGATTGTTTGCATAATTCTAGAACAAAGAAATAACACTCAAGAATAATACAATTGAGCACAATAAGTTTTATTGAAAACAAAAATGAATATTGAATGAAATAGGATTGAAAATGCTCAAACTTGAGGTTTGATGCTTTCTCTTTGATTCTCTCTTGATTTTAGTTTCTTGTTGTTTCTTGTTTTTTATCAATGGCTTCTAAGCTTGTTTAAATACTCCTTCAATTGATTCTGAACGTTGGGGATGATTAGTGGAGTCAATAGAGTCGTTTAAGTGTGAAAACAATTAATAAAATCAGTTGGGAGCGTCAGTGCATCGATGCATACACAAGGTGCATCGGTGCATCAAGTGTAAAATTCAAATATTTTGTCCGTTGGACCCTTAGTGCATCGGTGCACTAAGAGTGCAACGATGCATGTCTTGTGCATCGATGCATCAAATGCATTCGATGTTTTCATAAAAACCTGAGTGCATCGATGCATAAAATGCATTCGATGTTCAATTTATTCATTGGTCCGTCGATGCATGAATTGGTGCATCAGTGCATTCCTTTGAAAAATTGATTTTAGGCTTGATTTTGGTTCAAAATACTTTGTGAAAATTGTTTCAAAAATATATTAAGTATAAAACACAATTTTACACATTTAGTAAGATTTGAAATTGATCTTGAAAACTTAGAGTAATAATTTGATATTCGATTAATTGAATCGAATATACTTATAAAAATCTTTTGTAAAATCTTAAAATTCATTTATACTTAGTTTGTTATATCGAAACATCAAAATGTTTTCAACACATATTCCCAAGGTTTTCTTTCTATAACAGATTCCCTAAAAGCATTTTAAAAAAATTACTAAAAAATTTTGAAAAATAAAACTATGAGAACTAAGAGTGTAATTTAATACATATTAGTTCCATGAGTTGAAAAGCTTAATGATGTTAATTTATATAGACATATTGGAGTGTTTATGTTATGTTTATTAACAATGTGAGATAACAACTAAAAGGTGTATTCCTTTGCTTTTTTATCTCTATATCTAATGAATCCACTTATAAACTATTTTTAAATTATATTAGGTTAATATTTATTATTAAGATTTATATTAATTAAGATTAGATATTTTTAATATGTTGAAATATTTAAATATTTATTTTTTTAATTATGAGTTCAAAAGGTTTAAGTAAAACAAATTAAAAATATTTTATTAACATATAAATGCATTATTTATTAAATATGATTAATTTGATTGTTATGTGATCCTAATTGTATGATTATATAACTTATAAAAATATTTATATTATAATTTTTTAAACTAATTTATATTATCCTTTTAGTAGTAACAACTAATGATATTATCATTTACATATATACATTTTGTTATATGATTTTTTTTAATTATTCATGAGAACAAATTTCTATATAAACTTCACGTCTTACATGTTCATGACACCAAGTAATATTTTTTCATATTTTTATATTAGATTTAACTTAAATTATAGATATAATTAATCATATTCAATAAGTAATGTGTTTATATGTAAATGAAATATTTTTAATTTGTGTTACATTAATTTTTTGAACTCATAATTAAAAAAACATTTACATATATTAACATATAAAAAAATATCTAATCTTAATTAGTAAACCTTAATAATAAATATTAACCTAATAAAATTTAACATTAATGTATAAGTAGATTAATTAGTTATAGAGATAATATAAAAAGTTAAGGAATACTCATTTTAATTTTTATCCCACATTGTTAAGAAATATAACATAAACACTCTAATATAAGTATATAAATTAATATCATTAAACTTTTAACTCATAAAATTAATATATATTAAATTATATTATTGGTCATTATAATTTTTTTTTTAAAATTTTTTAAATATATTTTTAGATAATATGATGTGATAAAATAATTTTAAAAAAATTGATTCTTTAAAACGCGCCTTATGATACCTGACAATTAATATTATAATATTTTCGGTGATTTTTTTTTAATAATAAAAACGCCCTTTTTCACCCCCATTGAATCTTGTCTGTAACCAAAAGCCAAAGCCAAAAGAAGAAGAGAGAAGCTTCTTTGTTTTGGGTAGATACCCAGTTAAGATCCGTTTAACTGTAATTCGGGTGATCGGGTGCATTTTTTCCTTTTATAATTTCACTTTAAGAAGGGATAGAGAAAGGGAAGCTTTGGATCGAAGCATCGGAGATTTTGTTTTTTGTTTTTGAATAAAAAAATCGATTCCGAGTATAAGTAATTGAGTAAGGGGAGAGAGTTGTGGGAGATGAACGGAATGGGCAGGCAGGGGAAGAGATCTGGTGCGTCGGGGTTGCAGGTACACCATCAGAGGCAATACTCAGATAACTTATTGGAAACGACGTCGAATGGAAGGTGGCTTCAGTCTGCTGGTCTTCAGCATCTTCACTCTTCTAACAACTCAATTCCTCCTCTTCAGGTCATCATACGTTTTTTTTTCCATTTTAGATTTCTGAATTATGTTTGACTCCGTGTAATGCGCAGATGACGCAAAATGAAAATTTCTATCCACTAACACATACTACTTTTGGTATAAAATGGACAATGTAAGAAAATTGTATAGATCTATAGTTACATGATTTTTAGTCTTAATAAAAAAAAATGGCTGTCCCTTTTTTTCATAATATGCGGGTAAGAGAGGTAAGATAGTAGGCTACCTCTAACACCAGTTTCTTTGAGAGCAGCTTAGACCTCTTCCGTGGACTCGATCCCACGAACCTTGTGCTCTACTTGGATGGTCATTTCTTAATGATAAGGAGAATTACTAGAGCGAAACACCCCCGGGTCCGTTTTGGTACTAAAATAATTTATAGTTTTTTAGATGCTGTTTCGTTGGAACAAAAATGGGTTCTTCTCTTTTTGGATAATTTTCTTTTTTGTAGCTCTAAAATCCCTTTCCCATGGGGAAAAATGAAAAGACCTAGAAGTAAAAGAGAAATTATGTGTTAGTCTGTACTACTTGGAAGAGTAAAAATTAATGCTGGAAGGTTTTGATTGGAGGATTGACTTCTGGATCTTTATGGATCAACATTCAATGCGGTTCAGTTATTATTTCGATATCCGAATGCTTGATTGCGTTATTTTGCTGGTTGAATTGAGAGCAGGATTATTCATTCTATGGCGGTGGAGGTGGAGATGGAGGAGGACAAGTGCCTGGGATTTATAGGAATGTGCAGAGGGATTTCAATATGGGGAACGATTTTTTCACTGAGCCTATAAGTCCTCCAGTTAGTTTACGGCAGTCAAGCCAGAGGAAGAATGGTGAAGAGTCGCCCAATGAATTTAGTCCTGGTCTCTTGGATCTGCATTCTTTTGATACGGAGCTTTTGCCTCAGGTTGGTCATTCACTGCTTCTTTAAATTCATTGGGTTTATTTTTCACGTCTACTATTGATGGAGTAGTCCAGTAATAAACAAATAAAGAATGGGGGCTTCATAAGTTTATCAAATCATCAGTTCTCTTTTTGGGTGTATACATAGAATCATTAGTTCAGACTTCAGAGAATAGTGTCGTAGAGAATAGATTCAACTGCATGAGTAATTCAATTTTTATGCTTGTTTATGTTAATGATTTTTGTTTATTGGTGGCAGATGCCTGTTCCCAACCTGTATAATGGTTATTCTCTCTATAATCCAGTTCGAGGCAGAAGCTTTGATGACTCTGAACCCTATCTCTCAAATAACAAACAAACAGGCAGAGCTGGTGGTGTGCCAGAGAATGGCCTCCTCAAAAGCTTTGCTGCAGACAAAGAGAAGGTCAATTCAGTTGCAAAGATCAAAGTGGTGGTATGTTTTTGTTCTGCTGATTACCTTTGACCATCTCTTCATAATTTACTCTCTTTTCAACCTAAACGGGTTGCAACACCAACAAACGCAATAGATGTTTTTTACTATCTTGTGATTCATGCATCACATGTTTTGCACGAGTAGATTAATGATCAACATCTGAGTATCTTACATCAAGCTACTACCCCCACCACACAGTTTCTATGGGTTTTTGATTGCAGGTGCGCAAGAGACCTCTCAATAAAAAGGAGTTGGCAAAAAATGAGGAAGATATCATAGAGACCCTTTCCAACTCCCTAGTAGTGCATGAGACTAAACTTAAGGTAACAATTAAATTATTTTAACGTCTACAAGGTCAAGGCTATACCAAATTAGAAAGGTCACTTAAAAGCATAGCAATCCAAAATGAACCCAGGAAATCTCAAATATGTATTTCCCAATTTTATGTCTGAAGTAACAAAGAAAACTGTGAATGGAACCAATGACATGGGTTTTCACATTTAATTATTTCAAACAGCAGTTTTGTACATCAATAAGGAATCTCAAAGGTTGTAAGTTCACTTGTATTTTAGGTTTCAAATGATTATTTTGATCCTTCTTGGAGGAAGTATTATATGTTTTTTATGCCATGACATAACACATTAAAAAACTTGTAGCACTTATATGCCGTCTTCATTTGTTAATTGGTTTTTTATACGCACTTCAACTATTTATCTAGCATAGTAGCATAGGTGTATTAGTCTATGCTTTATACAGCATACATTGCATGCTTAATTTTTGACATTTTGTAGGTTGACCTTACAGAATACTTGGAGAAGCATGAATTTGTTTTTGACGCGGTGCTGAATGAGGAGGTTTCTAATGATGAGGTGAGTAGATGGTCTAAACGTATTAGTGGATAAGGTTAGAATATATTGCAGGATATGGATTTCCTACAGTGGTTGTTTTTCTCACCCTGTCTTGGCTTCATTTTTTTACTGTAGGTCTATCATGAAACGATGGAGCCCATAATTCCTATAATTTTTCAACGCACCAAAGCCACTTGTTTTGCATATGGTCAAACAGGTAAATAACTGCCACCACATCTCAGATGGATACTTTGTTGGAGGTTTTTCTTTTACTGAATTTTTCTTGTTTGACACTAACTTATAAATTTATCTCTTTTTTATGAATTTCAAATTTAAGCCATCTTGCACTTATAGGTCTTTCTCTTGTTCAGGGAGTGGAAAAACCTATACTATGAAGCCGCTTCCACTTAGAGCCTCTAGGGATATCCTGAGGTTGATGCACCATACCTACAGGAACCAAGGGTTTCAGTTGTTTGTAAGCTTCTTTGAGATATATGGAGGAAAATTGTATGATCTTCTCGGTGATAGGAAGTAAGTTGTTAATAGTTACAAGCATTCTCCTTTTCTGTTCAGTGCTATTGCTTCTAAATTCGCTAAAAACTAACCTTTCTTTCTGCAGAAAACTTTGCATGCGAGAGGATGGTAAGCAGCAAGTTTGTATTGTGGGTCTGCAAGAGTACATAGTATCAGATGTAGAGACTATTAAGGAGCTTATCGAGAAAGGAAATGCCACAAGAAGTACTGGTACCACAGGTGCAAACGAGGAATCATCCCGATCTCATGCTATACTTCAGCTTGCCATCAAGAGATCTGTTGATGGAAATGGATCAAAGCCTCCCCGTCTTGTTGGCAAGCTTTCCTTTATAGATCTGGCTGGAAGTGAACGAGGTGCAGACACTACAGATAATGATAAGCAAACAAGGTACTGTGCATCTTCTAAATTGCAAAATGACCATGGATAAGGAGCAGATTCAATTACAGATCTTAATATTAAAAAAATAGTGTTGTTAGTTTAAGCTAAACAGAGAGAATTTTGAAGACAGTTATGCCAAATAGTCCACAGTTTCTGGATCATCTCGCTTTTTAACTCCATGTAGTTGACTTAGCTGTTTGACCTCTATATTAATTTTACTCAATATCAAGTCCAAACATTTCAAAGTTGAAAAATGTTTAAGCAGTCCAAAAACGCCTGGACTTGATGTTTTTGCATTTAAAGTTTGGTTCCAATTCATGATTTCAGATCTAGCGTACAAAATATTTTCCTTGTGGACAAATTTCGGATAGGTGTGAATTTAGTTTTGCTTGACGTGCTTGTTTAATTAGCCACTTCTTTTTGTAATGCAGAATGGAAGGTGCTGAGATCAACAAGAGCTTGCTTGCCTTGAAGGAGTGCATAAGAGCTCTTGACAATGACCAGGGCCACATTCCTTTCAGAGGCAGTAAACTGACGGAAGTTTTAAGGGACTCTTTTATGGGAAATTCCCGTACGGTTATGATATCTTGCATTTCACCGAATTCAGGGTCATGTGAACACACTCTGAACACCTTAAGATATTCTGATAGGTAATTAAGACTTCTCTAGTTTTAAGTTATAACAAAAAATTTACACATCATTTTTTAAAGTCTTTCCTCTGGTTTTAATTGCCTTTTTCTTTCATGTGTTTGACTTCTGTTCGATGTAAAAATTACTACAGGGTGAAGAGCCTTTCCAAAGGGGGAAACCCAAAGAAAGATGTTTTATCTTCGACCTTAAATCTGAAAGAATCCACTGCTCAGCCCTTATCTTCGGTTTTACCAACTGCATCATCATCGTTCGAGGATGATATTAATGATACATGGCCTGTCCAAGACGACATATATGATTTTGATGCCTCGGAAGACACCATTGAGCAGGAGAAAGTGATGTGGAAGAAAAATGGGAAGCGAGATCAATACAGTTTCTCTACAGCGGAGAACAAGATACCGAAACCTACGGGTCAAACAAAATGGAAAGAACCAGTAAGATCTGACTTTAAGCATTCAAATTCAGATGATGATTTGAATGCTCTCCTGCAGGTAATTTTTACAAGAGTATTATTATTGGTAAAGAGACATAAAAATCAACTTGATTGAATGTTAAAACTCAAGTGTTGCCTTTACACAGGAAGAGGAGGATCTTGTAAATGCCCACAGGAAACAAGTGGAGGAAACTATGAATATTGTCAAAGAGGTAAACCTGGGTTCGCAACTTATTCTTTACCTCACTGAGCTGCTTTCATGATTTCATTAAATTTGGATGTAACAATTTCAGGAGATGAACCTGCTGGTTGAAGCAGATCAACCCGGAAACCAGCTGGACGATTATATATCGAGGCTGACTGCTATTCTTTCTCAGAAGGCTGCTGGCATCACACAGTTGCAAACTCGGTTGGCTCATTTCCAGAAACGCTTAAAGGAGCATAACGTATTAGTATCTTCATCCGGCTAGATTGGTTTGATTTTATGATTTATTATTTCTTTTTACAATTTTTAAGAGAGATTCTATTGAAAAATTTGATTTGGCAGCAGTTTGCTGGATGATTCAGATTCACTATCTGAGCTGCCCTTCTTTATCTTTTCCATTGTGCTATCCTTTAAAAAGAAAATGAGTCACTAGGCATTTTCATGCCGTTTGGGGTTGCTATTGTAATTGGATTCATAATTCCAATGTCTCAGATTTTCATTTACAAAAAAAAAGGTTGTTAGAAGAAATTATTTATACAATCCGAAATGACCCGAATCTTCTCTTCGAACCGTCGATACTGGCGGAGGCCTGCAAAATGGAGAATTTCAAGTACATATCGGTGAAGAACTCGTTGCCGATTGATTTCTGAGCCGGGAATAGTAGTGGATTGCTCTTTTACATCAATGTTCCATATCACCAACATCCATCATCTCCAATTCCTAATCTTTTTCACTAATGCGTAATATCCCTCTTATGTTTTCTCCTCTTTTCCTCTGATATGCTTTGTGAATTCCGGTTTTGAAGTTTTCATTGCATCATATCGTATTCAAATGAAAAGAACAAAATGATTACTTCAACAGCAACTATAGTGATCAATTTGCCAAAATTGATAATTGGAAGAGACTTACGAGTTTTTTTTCTCCCTTTTTCTTTCAAATTTAATTTATATAGCTTCTCGACTAGAGATGCACAGAATCCGGATTTCAATCCGATCCGGATCGGATAAAAACCGATCCGGTTTTTTCTCCCAACCCAAAAACCGGATTTTAAAAAAACCGGTTCGGATCCTAACCGGTTTGGAGGGTCGGATGGTGTAACCGGTGTAACCGGTTTCGGTTTGCAAAAAACCAGTTTTTTAAAAAAAACCGGATTTTTTCGGTTAAAAACCGGTTTTTTAAAAAAACCGGTTTTTTTTTATCCGGATAAAAAACCGGTTTTTTATCCGGTTTGAAAAAAACCGGTTTTTAATCCGGTAAAAAAACCGGTCGTTCAATTTTTTCTCAAACCGGTTATACTATCCGGTTTTTAAATATCCGATCCGGTTTAAAAAAAACCGGTTTTTTCAAAATCCGGTTTCGAATATTTTTTACCCAAAATCGGATATTCGAATTTTTTGTGCACCTCTATTCTCGACCACGTGGAAAGTTCAAACCGAAGCCCATTTTGGACGAACAAATTGAGCTAATCTCCTATAATAAGCCGAAAAACGTAAAAGGAACCCAGAGACCAGGCCCATCCTAGAAACCGAACCCTTCAACTCAATTCTGAAAAACCCTTCAGCTGCCATAATAGTTTCTTCCTCCGCCGCTCTCCTCCTTGTTCAGAGCCCAAAGTACCATATCTTAGGGTTCTCCTGCGTCAGCTCCAATAGTAAAACAGAAAAACAGAAAACAATTTTTTTTTCTTTTGCCTTCCTTTGATCTCATTGAATGTTTACAATTGAAATGAACACTGTGATTTGCAGGGAAAGGGAACAGGGAGTTTTGGTAAACGAAGGAACAAGACCCACACTCTTTGCGTGAGATGCGGCCGCCGTAGCTTCCATCTCCAAAAGAGCCGTTGCTCTGCTTGTGCTTTCCCCGCTGCCCGTAAGAGGAAATGTAAGTAACCTCTCTTTCATTTCTAAAGCTTTAGTTTTTTTCGTTGCTTACTGTTTATTAGGTATGCTTTTAAATCTGGGTTTCTTCCCGTTCAGCTGATTTATTTTTCTGGGTCTGTTTGGTTTTATTTACTCGGTGTATTCAAGTTGATCTCTTCTGATAAGATTATGTATCTTTGATTGTACTTCTAGTTTGTTTTACTTGAATGAATTTGTTATAATTAGAAGTCGTTATCCTGGACTACGTTAGTGTACTAATTCAAAAATTGCTGGGATCTAGTGATTTATGGTAATAGAATGAATGTATTCTTTATCGAAGTTTAAACTTGTATACTTGCCGGAGTATGAACGTGTGTTTCTATGATGATTATCGTACTCGCGAGTTATAATGTTACAAGAAATGTGCTTATATTCGTAGATCTTGCAATATGGTTGCGGTGTGTGTTGTGATGTTTGAGATGTGAAAATGTGTGAATGGGGATTGTAGTTGGGCATGTTAATTGTTAAATCTAAGGGGAGCTTGTTTATTGTGTCAATCAGATAACTGGAGCGTTAAGGCAATCTGAAGGAAGACCACCGGAACTGGTAGGATGAGGTATCTTCGCCATGTTCCTCGCAGGTTCAAGACTGGTTTCAGAGAAGGTATGTAGATGTATGAACATATTCTGTTCCAGTTGAAACTTTTTTAACCTCCAAAAATTGTTAGTGTTTTGAATTTCGTGCTGTATCATGATCCTAGGTACTGAAGCAGCACCGAGGAAGAATATAGCAGCAGCTTCTTCTGCTTAAGTTGCTTATGAGGTTGTTTAGTTGAATCCATCATTTTTAATACAAGTTGTGTCGGAAACATTACTTGAGAAGTGCCATTTTTTACAACATCGGATGTCATTGTTTTTAGTTTGTGTTTTTATGTAGCTGCTTAGGCTATTGTTGTTCGACTCTAAATTACTCGGATGGTTTTTTATTTTCCTATTCTGGATCAAGTTAATGACTTTCTTGTTTAAGTTACGGTGCCTGTAATCTTGTTTCGGATGGCTGAAGTTTTTAGAAACAATGCATCAAAAGATTTGTAAATCCTGTGTTTTTAGTGCAAATGCTTCAGATTGTAAGAATTGGGAGAAAAAGGAATGGAAAAGAACCACAGCCAAAAGCTTTCAAATTCACTCTTCTCAAGGTTTACTTGCAATTCCTCCAAGAGTGATGAATCTTTTTTTTTCTCAAGGAAAGAGGAAACTAATTACAGAATTTGAACCTGTGTATGAAGTGCTGGTGCTGTAAAATATGAATGAACTTCTCAAGGCAATGAACCAAACATGAATCTCAACATTCCACTACTTGAGGGGAAATACAAGGCCGAACCACTATTGTTCAACCTCCATATCTGAAATCTCAACTAGTCCGCTTTATATTCACCGAACCTGTGTTTTTCCTCACGCACCTGCTTGAATACATAATCCATCTCCGGAAATGCAGACAACAGTAATAGCTCGATAACGTCGTATGCCAACAGCTTCAAACAGACACTAGACTGCAACAAGAGAGACCAAACATTAGCCATAATGAATTTCAATATGAAAACCAAAATCTCCAGCCACTCTCAACTTGTAAGCTGACACCGATCATGTTATACCCAACTCGATGTTAATAATTGAAGTGTTGTTTCTATTAATGTCCTAAATTACCTGGATAAAGAAATAGAGATCTTTGGCGCATTGTTCATACTCCTTGTGACCAACAAGGCCCACAATAGCAGCAGGCGCTTTGTCTGTACCGAGAAAATCAAGTTACTTGACTTTCTTAGAATTTTCGGTTTGGTGACATTATAATGCAATGCAGAATATGATAAGAAACATTGGTGATAAACAAACTACCAATCATTAGCTCGTAAACGAATTTTGCACGACGTTCTGCTTCCAGTTGTTGCTGCTCATTATTCGATATAGATGATGTTTCATGAGATTGTGGATGTGGTGAAGCTTGGGATGGACAACTGGATGGCGGCAGACGTCGCTTTTGATGTTTCGTTATGAATATTCCATCAGGCCAAAGTATCTGCATGGAAATTGCAGGCATTCTATAATAGAAGTGCATACAAGCATAGGTAGTAGCACCGTTTAAAAGTGAATTTTCTTTTTTTGAAAGAAACCAGTTGCAGTTCGACAAAACAAGACATGAAATAGTAAGATGAAGCACAAGAAAATACAGAAAAATCTCTTAACATAGCAAAAACATATAAGACAAAGGATTTAAATATAAATTTCAAGTCGGATAATATATTGAATAGAATCCCTTAAAAACTCCACTACACAGAACAAACATGGTTCTGTTCCAGAGGCTGAGCAAATACCATTGGGGTTGGGCTGGCCCTTCAATCCTCTTGCAAACTTGGTCAAGAGGAGATTTTTTTTTAACTCCCTAATGCCACTAAACAAATTTACAGATAAATTTGCTATACTTTTAAAGGGAAAAATAGCTTCTGAGATCAAATGACTACCTGCTCAACCCTATTGATTCCTGAAGCAACAACTGACCCCTTGCGCAGCAGCTGGATCTTTTCTATCAGCCAGTCATCAAAAGCATCACCCATTCCAAGTTGTAGAACCTGTTTGGCAAACCAAAAAGCCTTCCGCCTGAAATACACAAGCAAAGTACATAAGACTTGTGCATCTGTTTAGAATTGGATGTGATAATGCTAGGCTTACATTAGGGCAGACAATTTCCCGTTTTAAGGAGGCAAAATCAAAATATAATGCTAACATGTGAATAGTTCTATAGCCATTTATGTACCTGATCCATCCACCATCCTGGAGCTGGAAAATGACATCCACCAAATCTAATATAGGAGCACTTAAATTTGGTGGCACCCACTGCAGCAGAAGATGAGTCTGTTAAAATCCATCGAGGACCATAGAAGTGTTTCAAATAGAATTGCAAAAAAATATGAAACATTGAAAGTTTTGCACTTGATTAAGCATAGTTATGACAGACAAGTTAATTCTGGAGACACTGACAAAGGATAGAAAACATTTGACATTAAACTGATTACCTCTGTAGGAAGGGTTGAGTACATATCAGAATCAAGAAGCAACTCAGAAGCATCTTCCATTATTTCGTTCTCTCTTCCTCTAACATTTTCCTTTGAGTTCCTTACTAACGATGTATTTCTCACTTTAGCATCAGAACCATTGCCAGTATCTTCAGAGGACTTGCACCTTGCTTCAGTGGCAACTTTTGATGGAGAATTAGAAACATTTTTTGCATTTCTTAATCCATCAGTTGCAAGATTAGGCTTTATTTGCAATGAAGATTCCTTGCTTTCAGTATCTAACTGTTGTCTCCGGGAAGTTAATGGACCCATCAGAGGCCCTGCAACATTTGAAGCCTTTTTGCCCTTTTCAGATGGATTATCATCAAGGCCAACTAGAAAGTTTCCAAGCAACGCAAGAAATATAATCATTTGAAGGAAAAAGCAAACTATGCAAAGAGCCTACTAAATTATATTTGAATTACCTGACAAAGTTTCGACAATAGAAAAAGAACTCGAGAATACATATGTCTGCATTACAAAATATTATATAATAAGAGGTTGTACTTAACTGGGAAAATCTGAGACCACCCCACCCCCTACCCCCAAACAATTTCTCTTCCCAGAAAAGAAAGGAAAAATAAGTTCACCTGGGAATCAACACTTAGGAAGTCCCAAACTTCAATTGATCCTGAAATAGTCGGAAGCTGCAATAGCATCTGAAGACAAAAAAATATTAATAAGTCCTCCAAATACATAAAGATAAGCAAATCTAGTACATAAAGCATATGCTATGACTATTTCTCACATATGAATTAAATGTCACTTTGGCCAGATGGAAGTACTATAATCAAACAGCCCAACAAATATATTTTACGACGAAAACTCAAGATAGAAAAATGATAAAATTGAGTTCAAGCGTTTAACCTTTAAATACTCATCAAGCAATTTGCACCGTTCTCGTATTACTGAAATGTCTAAACCCGATGAAAGAAAATGCTTTGGTGGCAAGTGAAGTTTATATTCTCGAAATGATTTAAGACGCTGATGCAGCTCCTCAAAATGGCGAAACCTGAATGAGAACAATTAAAAAGACTAGCAACACAGACAGAGGTGAAGATAAAAATGTAACTGGCTACACATTTTAGAAAAATCCAACTGAGAAGCCTCTAATGCTCTAGGATGCAACATGGGAGGTAGACCAGAAAGTATATAGCACACTCTACACACCTTCTCTTGATGGACCAACTACTATTGTTATTTAGTACATCTGTAACAGATATGGAGTAAACAGCAAATGTTCTAGAACCACTCTTTACAATATTTGCACCTAAAACCTGCAAAAGAAAATAGTATTGCAACAATCAATGAAAAAGTATCAGAATGAGAAATTATAGCAAACTGACGTGAAGAAGATACTTGTCATTATTAAGTACCTCACATCTCAATTTAAAAAAAGACCCTCCAACCAACGAATTTTGCAAGATATTAGCAGTCAAACTACGACTTTCTGAAATAGAGAGAGGAGAAGCAGATGAAGAAGCAGTTACTCCACTGTGAAGTCTACCAAAGAATTCAGTCTCAGAATCATCACTGGAATATTCAGCTTTTCCATGTCCATTCAGTGGATTAAGTATGTCTTGCCCATCCATAGATAAGAATCTCGTCCTCTCAATCTCTTGCCAGACAGGCAACTTCTGACTGGTCAATCTAGATCTTTTCCTGCTGGATGGGGTTCTAGTCAATCTTCGATATTGAACATGCCTTCCACCAGCCTTCTTTACAATATGGCCCTCAAGATTTTCAAGTGGATGATGAATGTGAGAAACAGTCAGGTTTCTGTTACCCTTACCATCCCAAACTTTAGTTCCAGAAGAATCAAGACCCGTTACATGTCCTGATTCTTCTTCTTGAGACGTAAAGGAATCACTGCTTTCTGATTCAACCTCCTCCAAATCAACAAGGTTACGATCATCTTCCTGAGAAGATAACACTGAAGAGAAGTACGATACGTTCCGAACTTCATGTGGGAATGATTTTTCTATTCTGCATTGATCAGTTAATGCCGGTTGAGCAACATGACTCTCAGATGAGTTAAGCTTGGTTGGATACTTTTCTCTGGTCTTCAATATTGCTTTTGCATGATCCACAGCAGCAGAGTTCCCAGCAGAGGAATGATGAGGAACTTGCCCGATTAATTGTTTTTCTCTATCCTTATTGTAATCTCTCCCCTTTGTCCACATGTTCTCAAAATTTTCTGGAGCAAGGGCCTCGGTCTTTCTACGTGAAATCAGATCTAACATGTCACCCCATTCTCCACCTGAACGATGTTGTTCAATACCTCTTTCAGCATCAGTCTGTGAGTTCAAGGGCACCGAGCTCCATGAATGGAAAGTTTGGGTATCCATGGAAAGCAATGGATCTTTTGAAAGTTGTTTTCCATTTAGTTCGTCTGTTGCAGTGGTGTCTCCAGCAGCTCCAGACTGATTAGTTTTTAACTGTACAAGTTCAACACCAGTAACAGAAGGATCTAGAAACTTAGAAAAATTATCAGATGAGATCTTTGAAGTGCCATTTGCTTTATATTGAGACGCATCTTGAGCAGCATTAAGTTCTCCTTTAGCTTTTGTCCTAGATATAACTGCAGATTCAATCCTCTCATTTATAAACTTTGGACTCACTAAGTTTATGACAGGTCGAATTACTGTGCAAGCCAGAAGCTCCCTGACAATATAACGAAAGAAAGAGCACTGCAAATCTTCGGGCCTGAATGTGAAAGAAATGAGACCATTCATCAAATGTTGCAAACCTGAAATGAACAGGGCAGACACTATCATAATCAAGGAATAGTACACTCCTATAGGAATGTCAGGTTAATGGACTAGTTTTGACATAACTGGAAGGTCAAACTGAAAACTCAACAACCTTGTGCTCAGCTTCAGTAGAGAATAAAGCCGGGTGCAGTTTGTTCTCTGCTGCCAGAATGCGCCTTATTTCAGCATCTCGATATTTGATAGTCAGTGGTTCAGATTGCTTATTTTCAATTTTTGGTTTATTGATACGAAAAAGCTCCAAGTGTGAACAAAAGAGATTAATAAGGTCCCTGCATCGTCCTAGACATAGATTAGTTCCCTCTTAAACATTCTTGAGACTTGAACAATAATAAAAAAGAATCAGTGGTGGAACGGACTTATACCTTGTCAGTAAATTGATGAGGTTTATATTTCTGAAGCGTTCTGAGAGCTCCCCAAGAACACCATTTATGATCTGCACCAATTCTTCTGGGCCTTCTTTATCAGGTGTTAAACGAGAATACCATAGATCTGTCATCCACTCGGAAATAAGATGTCTTGTGAACTGATCTATCGCATTCTCAACGACAGGAGAATTTACTTTCCTTCTCCAATCACAATGTTCAACAACTTTAGGACGTTCTGGTGGTTGCTTAGGAGTCGAGGCACTTGTAGATGCAGGTTTGCTGTTATATGCATCAGTTTTCCTCCGCATTTCATAATCTATCAAGAAATACCGGAGGAGAATGATTAAGGAGGCAGCAGCAGGAAGATTAACCAAAACCGAGGAGCTTGTCCCTGATATAAGAAAAAGAAATGTGTAAATATCAATTCAAAAGGTTGAAATGAATTAATAGGAACCATATACTGAAAATGTCAGATGTGTTTTTTTTTTATAGAAAGTTGGCCTCATTAAAAAACCCCTTAAAACCCTCCATGTTATAACAGTAACATGAAGGATCTAGGAAGGGGGAAAAGAGTGCCAATAATTTTATTAGAAGAACAATAGTACAAAAGCAGTCCCTACAAAGGCATACCCTTTACAGACTGCTAATACTCCAAACGAAAAACATAAAACTTAATTCAAAACACCTAACACAGGAAAACAAATTCCTGAACCTCAACACAACCAACATAAAACAAGAAATCACCCTATCCCGTCTTTAGCTAATTTGTCAGCTTCCCAATTAGCCGCCCTCAAAACGTGTCTGATGATAATATCCTTTCCTTCCAATAGCGAGACTATCTCCTTAACCAAGGATTGAAACATAGGAGTGCATAACCCCGGATTCTTGATCCACTTCAGAGCATTACATGAATCAGATTCTAAAATAAACCTCTGATTAGGAACAGCACCTAAGTCTTCCATAAGACAAAGTCCCCTCTTAATTGCCAATAACTCAGCCATGATAGGAGGACCACCCCCAACACTTTCAGAGAACCACTGAAGTAACACACCACAACTGTCCCGGATCAGACCACCAATACCTCCTTTACCCCATCCCAAAACCATCGCTCCATCAACATTTAACTTTAGGAACCCATCCGGGGGCGGAATCCAACATGTTGGTTGAGTACATGCCTTTCGCTGCCTACTCATCGAATCAGCAAGTTTTAAATCACCTACTAGGGAGTCTAAAGGGATAGGAACATCATTGAACCTTGCAACAAACCATGAGGCTATTCTAAATGAACAATAAAGGACAATCTGACCACATCCAGCTTTTCTTTCTGAAAAATAACCTCATTTCTGCACTTCCACACAGACCACATCACTGCCCTTGGAATGAACTTCCATATCAAAGATTTCGGCATTAAATCATCCCACAAAATGATAAAATCAATAATAAGCTTTGGAATCACCAAGAACACATTCCATCTTTTCAAAAAAGAAGACCATAAACCCCATACAACCTCACAATGCAGAAATAAATGTGGAACTGATTCCACCTCCCGACCACACAATGGACATGAAGGATCTACAATCTCTGCCACACCTCTCTTCAATAATTCCTCTTTAACCGGCACTCTCTGATGAGCAAGCTGCCAAACAAAAGTTTCAATCCGAGGAGGAGCAATCCCTACCCAAATATTCCTCACCCACAACTCCTGACTCTGCTCAATGCCAATATGATCAAAGAAAGAATTAATGCAAGATTTTGCTGAATAGCAGCCCTCACCATTCTCTGATCAGATCCAACAATCATCCACTTCAGGACATAAAGAGATATTGTTCAGTATGGAAACCAACAACAACCACTGTTCAAGTTCCCAATCTGCCAAATTTCTTCTCATTTGGATGTCCCACACCCAACCAGAGGCATTATTCACCCTAAAATCCATCACTTTACCCAATTTATTGATGGACAAAACATAAAGTCGAGGAAACAAATCTTTCAAGGGTACTCCTCCTAACCAAACATCATTCCAGAATTCCACATATTTCTCGTTCCCTGTCTTCAAACGCATATTCCCCCTAAGACAATCCCCAAAATCATCATTGGTAAAGAAGTTTTTAACCACCCCTTTCCAAATCCACGAGGCCCGGGCTGAGCATGAATTCCCCATCATAATGGAATTCGGATCCAAATTGTAAAATGCACACACCACCCTCTTCCACCAAGACTGCTTTTCTGATGCAAACTTCCAAACCCATTTCCCTAGTAAAGCTCTATTCAAGAATGATAAGTTCAGGATCCCTAGACCGCCCAAACTTTTTGGCTTGCTGAACGACTTCCAATTAATCCAGTGTATTTTTTTGCTATCTGCCGCACCCTCCAAAGAAAAGAAGCCATGATAGAGTTGAGTTTTTGAAGTACAAAATCTGGAATTCTGAACATAGAAAGGAAATAAATTGGGAGAGAGCACAACACCGATTTAAGCAACACCACCCTACCTGCCAAAGACAAGGAATTAGCCATCCAACCACTCAACTTTGCATGAAATCTCGCCACTATTGGCTCCCACATAGCAACCGAATTCCTCTTGTACCCCAAAGGTAAACCTAAATATTCAGCTGGAAATTGGCCCACCGAGCATCCAATCTCATTTGCCTAATTAGCTAGCTCCCCATCGTCCACATTAATGCCGAAAATCTTGCTCTTGACTAGGTTAATCTTCAACCCCACCAACAGCTCATAAATTAATAAAACTCTTCTAACATTTCTCAAATCACGAATAGAACCTTTGCTAAAAACTACAAGATCATCCGCAAATTGCAAATGCGAAAGCTTGAAAATCCTATCATGAGCACCTAGATCGAAGCCCGAAAACAGACCCAACTCCACTGCTTTAGAAAGCAACAAATGCAACAACTCAGTAGCCAAATTGAATAACAGAGGAGAAAGCGAACATCCCTGTCTAAGTCCCCTACCTGTGTGAAATCTCTCCGTAGGAGACCCGTTAACTAAGACCGAAATGGAGGCTGTAGACATACACTGATACATCCAAGACCGCCACTTATCACCAAACCCTATTTTGTTCATTATTACCATCAAAATTGACCAATCAACCGAGTCGTAGGCTCTCTTAAAATCCACCTTGAAGATAACTCCCTTCAAACCTTTCTTCCTCCAAAAGTCAATACTTTCATTTGCAATAAACGAACAGTCCAATATATTTCTTCCCGGAATGAACGCAAATTGTGATGAACTCATAATCTCGTTAATGCACAAACTCAAACGTCTAGCTAAGACTTTTGACAGAATTTTATATAACCCTCCCACTAGGCTAATAGGCCTAAATTCTTCCAACCCCTCCGGATTTGCCTTCTTTGGAATAAGGGAAATGAAGGAATGATTCACCTCCGAGTCCCACTCCTTCCCCACATAGAAATCCTTAAAAAACAACATCACATCTTTTTTCAAAATATTCTAGAACTTTTTAAAGAACCCTAAATTCAGACCATCCGGGCCCGGAGCTTTATTGCTATCCGAATGCTCAATAACATCCCATACTTCCTCTTCAGAAAAAGGCTTCTCCAGTGCTGAACAACGCCCTTCCGACAGTTTAAGAAATTCCAGACTCAACTCCTCAACCTCCAAGGTGTTCTTTTGATTAAACAGCCCCTTGAAGAACACCACCACTGAAGCTTTGATTAAAATAGGATCCTCAGAAACTTCATTATCCACTTTGAATGATTTAATGCAATTCAACCTCCCTCTAGCTGCTGCACTATGATGGAAGAAACTAGTATTCCTATCTCCTTCCAAACTCCATTTCAACCTAGACTTTTGCAACCAAATCGACTCTTCTTTCTTTTGTAATTCCACAATTCATTCTTTGCTTCAACTATGAATTTCATTGAAGCCCTAGAAAGCCCTTGTTGTAATTCCATTTCCATAACCTAAATTTTTTTCTCTAATGTGTTGATTTTATGTGGCAGCTAAAGGAAACCCCTCCTATACCATTTTTTTGCCACATCCTTCACCCGGATAAGAACTTTTGCAATGGTCGACGAATTCTCCTCTTTATCAAAATTGAGCAGTTCCTTATTTATCATCTCACTAAACCCATCCTCCTCCAGCATATAATTAAACAATCGGAACGGCTTTGGCCCCAATTACAATCCTTATTCTCCAACAATATAATATTATGATCAGAAACGGACCTTGGCAGCAACGTTTGATTAATCTTAGGGAAATAAGAAAGATAATTCTGGTCAACCAAAAACCGATCCAGCCTCTCAAAAGTGGGAGCTTCTCTATTATTACACCACGTAAACTGACCTCCAAATAAAGGCAAATAAATTAAATTCGCCTTACTAACAAATCTCTGAACATGTTCACTGAAACCCGATTCACTTCACCTCCAATTTTCTCTTCCTGAGACAGTACAACATTAAAATCACCACCTAAACACACTGGACAGTCAACCTGATCCAAAAATGATACTAAATTCCCTAAAAACTGTTCCTTCTCAGCATCACACTCGGACCATAGACATTTATGAAGCAATACATATCTGGTAATCCCTCCAACAACCCCTTTACAGCCACAAACCTGCTATGAATAATCTCCTCCTTGACCACAAAAACCTTCTGTTTCCACAAAGTAATTAACCCACCAGCAACACCAACAGCAGGAACTGATACCGAACCAGTAAGTATTTTGCCTCCCATTTTCCTAATTAACATAGAACTAACTACTTCCAATTTGGATTCTTGTAAAAATACCAATGCAGGCTTTTTCTCCTCAACAAATCTCCTAATAGCTCGAGCCTTAACCTTCTTACCCAAACCCCTAACATTCCAACACATAATGGACCACTCTACCATCATAAATAAATCATAACCATAATTCCATGTTCCTACACCAACCTTCAATTCTCTCTGCCCTTTACCAGAGGAACAACTTTGGTCAAGAACTCCTTCTCTCCACCTTTAAACCTAACCCCCAACAATTTGAAACATTCCAACATTCCAATGCTTCAGCCGCCCCCTGTTTCTCTGAAACAGAATCAGAACTCTTTGCACAACAGCTTTTGACATCCCATCTCCTAGCATTAACCTTTTTTGTAAAAACCTCTCTCTACATTACTGACCGACACACTCCTCCCAGAAGGTCTATTCTGGACCGGTGAAACATACCCAATCTGCAGATTAGTTTCGGCCTGTGTAACAATTTTTGGATCTACAAACTCATTCTCATGCCTATAAGATTTGGACTACCCTGCTCAGGCCCACGCTCCTCTAATCTTCCCAAGCTTGAAAAAAGCCCATCATCCTTATAACTTTATCTTGCCCCGAGGTACCATCTACCATACTGATCACCCTTTGTCTCCCTTCAGAAAAAGCTCCTGACATTTTCTGCTGACAATGAACTTCACCTAGTACTGACCCTTCTGCACAAAAGTCAACACCTAAAAAATTATTACCATCTCCTTTTTCATTCAAATTTCCATCGTTAAGCGTGTCACCCCCTTGAGAAGCATCCCGAACCCATGCTTCTACCCTATTCAAAGGTTCTGACAACGCCTGAATATCCAACTGCCCTTGCAACCCTCCTTGCTCCTCCCCTAGGCTTCCATCCGACGAGTTCTCCACCCAAGGATCAACTGTTCCGTCCACAAAACCTTCTTCCTCAATCCCATCTTCAATCACAGGAAAAAAATCTTCACAGCCTTCTACCTTAATCTTAATAATAAATGACCTTCCATAAGTATTAATGGTAATATGGGGGGAATGTCAAAGGGGCTCTCAGACCCTTAACAGCATGTGAGCCACCTTGCAATCCACTCTTTGGGTTGTATGATCCTGAATCTTCACTAACTTGCCCCATCTTGAAGCCAAACTGGAAAAGAAAGAAACTGACCAGCAATTTAATGGAACACCGATCATTGATATAGCACAATAAGGTAAAGGAACACACTTCTCTTCCAAGACAGATTCCAGCCTTTCAAACCAGAAGGACAATGCCTCCCACTTTCCTTCAACCGCTGCATCTTTCTGCTCCACTGACTTGAAAACTACCAAACATGCATTCTTCGCATAACCCCACCTTACCACCTTAACATTAATTCCCTCATTTCTTAGAGCCCTCTGAATGAATTCAACTTCAAAAATTTGTTTTACAAATACCTGTTAAGGACGATCTTAACCATGACCTTTCCTCCATTGGAATAAAGGCCTCAAAAGGTTTCTTCACCTCCCTCTTCTCTCCAAAGCTACAAACTTGTTGGCCCTCAACTCTTTTTACTCCCACTACCGTCTCCTTATAAGATCTACCATCATGGAACTTGTTCAACAGCTCCTTCTTCCCAGCTTCAACCGCTTGATAAGATAATCTTTTCCTTTTCGAAACCCCCACTCCTACATCACCAGACTTCGCGACACTATTACGATTCGAGTTCCTCGGAAAACTACTCCTCTGATACTTCGCAATCGACACCATTAATCTCCTACCATCGACCAATACATTGTTCATCTTACTCTTTGCATTAAGCAAATCCTCCTTACTTGCAAAGTGCACGAAAGCAAACGTCTTATCCTTATAATTAGGTCTCCTATTAACAAACGGGATGAACACCTTAATCACCTTGCCATGAAGACTAAAACGATCCCATAAATCACTTCTATGCACTCTCCTACTCAAGTTGTCTACGAATGCAACCCACGATCCTCCTCCAGGCACTGCTCTTCCTCTGCCAGAAGACTCGATACCTTCCTGCTTCTCGTTCACTCTCTTACTGTGACACGGCATTGTTGTTTTTTTTTTGGTAAAGCTTAATGTTTCTAAAACAGAATTTTTTGTTGCTGGAATTTCTACTCGAACTTTAGATACTATCCGTCAGATGTCTTTTTAAATATCTTAAAATCCAAGTCAAAATTTAATGAATGAACATCATGTGTTTCAAAATTTCAGGGCTCCATACATATAATTCCACCATCATTGGTAGCATTATACTTCACTTGCAGGCAATTAGTAAAATATGTATAGGAACCGGTGTGCTCTATCTTTGCTCACTAAAGGCCAACGGTTAAGTACCAGTATATTTAAATATGTTAACCAATTAGTGATGTTAATTTAAAAGCTTAGTTGGGAAAACTGTGAGACCTGGACAACATCTAAAGATTAAGTAGTTGCAGCTGCAATTTATCATCCAGACAATCAAACGCGAGACTGGCTAAATTATGGCGGGATAAGTACAAAGAAACCTAACTCAATTATCCCCAACCCAAAAAAAAAAAAGAGGAAGAAACCCAACTACAATCAAGATGCCAACATAAATTTTGGAACTAAAGTTGTAAATTACTATTTTTCCCTTAAAAACTCCAATGCTACAAACATATTTAACCGATGCAACTCTATCCTAAAATGTGATGTTACGAGACTTAAAAAAAACTAAAGCCCTAATGAACATGCCAAAATTCTTTTATCTCTAATTGAACACACACATAACCCTAATGAACTCAAAAGCAAGTAACTGAATAAAAGAACTGATCAGATTTAACTTGAAGATTAAGAAGAACGATTGAACAATCAAAATCATAGAGTAAATTGAATAGAAATAGGATGAGAAACACAAAAAAAAAAGAGGATTTGATAACTTAACGTGACATGAGATAGGACAATCCGACGACGCATATAGCTAAAATCACAATTCGCTTCTTGGCTTCCTCTACCAAGTCACTAACCGTCACCTGCTTTTGCTTTGGCGTGTTCATTGTTTCGGCCAAATCAAGCCTAAAAGAAATTAAATCCCTAAATCGAACGAATCATTGCTTTTGTCTCTCTATCCCTCCTTTCCGCGGAAACTGTAAATCACCGCCATAACGAAAAATCATGTCTCTTAGTGGGGAAGAATAAGAAGAAAAAAACGAATCAAATAATTTGAATTGAAAAGATGAAGGAACAGGAAGGAAAACTTGTGTTTGGAAGGAAAGAAAAAATTAGTTTAGAAAGTGAAAGGAAAACAAAGAGGGGGAAACTTCAACGCGAGGACTGGTAGGTCTTGATGGTTTTACTCCTGTGCTGATTCCGCTTTCGCCGAAGTGTGCATTTTGTATTAAAATAACAACATATAACATACGTAAATACATACATACACACACGTGTATATATATATATATATTTTAATATTTCGCTTATAATAAGGAACAAATTAATAAATATAAAGATAATAAAAATTAAATATGTGAACACACAAAATTTATTAATAATCGTGACAATTTTTTAAAATATTAATTGTACGTGATTGAAATGATGTTATTTAAATAATAAATATTTTATTTGATAAAATTAAAATATCGTATGATCAAATTAAATTATACTATAACTAAATAATTATCTTAATTTATTTTTAATTTTAAAATTTCTTTAATAACAAAAAATAATTTCTAATAAACTAAATTTTAGAAGATTATGATTCTCAAATCGACTTAAGAAGTGATGAAAATAATTAACTCTCGCAAGAAAAAAGTTTATATGAAGAAAGGAAAAAATTATGTGAGATAAGATAAAAACTTTCATTATATTTATAAGAAGAATGAAAGACTCAATAAATAAAGGAAAATAAAACTTTAAATCTACTAATTGAAACATAATTTCAAAATAATTTACGTTATTTTCAATTGCAATAAATAAAACTTTAAGAAGGATAATTTAAAATAATTTTAATTTAAAATGTTTATATATTCAATTTAAAGAGCTATATAAATTACGGTATTTTCAATTACAATAAAAAAGTTATTTATTGGGTTTAAGACTTATAACAAAAAATATTACGAGTAATATTTTCGGTTGTGATGTGTCAATCTAAAAGGTTATATATAATCTAACAAGGTATACTTTTGATAAAAAAAATTATTACAACATATACAAATTATATTTTTAGAATTTCCAATCATATATATACCGAAATAATTTTAAAATAAATATAACTTTTATTGATGTGACAAACAAGATTATACTAATTTTTTTATAATCCATTCCATTTAATATAAGAAAAGAGTTACGTATGATAGTTTTGTTAATAAATTAAAGAGTTAAAGTTTTTTAAAAAAGATGATAAATAGTAAGGTCGATTTAGAGAGAGAGAGAAAATAGTGCTAGTGTTAAAAGTGATATTGAATATTGTAAGTTGATAATGAATGGCTTCTAGTGCAGTGGGGATTCAATCTCACCACACTGGAGCCTTGTTTGGTGGGGCCATAACATCAAGGACACTTTAATGTAGGGGTGTAAACGAACCGAGTCGGCTCGATTAAAAACTCCGAAATTGTACGTATAACATCAATGACACTCTGATTTGGTGCCATTGTGAAATACTATATATGAATTTTAATTTGGTGTAATTGTATGCATAAGTTTTGATTTCATTCAAGTTTTATAAGTTATTATAATCATTTTACGTTTAACTATTGTGTACAAATAATTATATCTATCCAATATGAAAGATGAAAAATATTTACTTTTAAAAGTATGTATAATTGAATCAAAATCAAGGATTCATATGTACCATTAAGCCAAAATTAAATTATATGTATATAATTGCAACAGATCAAAATTTATGTATCATATTGTATATTTGACTAAAGTTCATGTATACTTTTTATATTTATTCACAAATATAATTATGAAATTTACTTAATAAATAACTAGGGATAGAAATGATAAAGGGTTTATATATGAAACTTCTACGGCGCTCGACGAGCACCACTACCGATGAACACCATTAATTTAATTTATAAAAGTTAAAGTTCTAAAGGACTCAACGTATAATTATAAATTAGTTAAAATTTAAAAAAATATTAAAATTAAAGGTAAATTATACTACTGACCACCTAACTATTGCCTCTTTCATTTTGCTCACCATTTTTGAAATTATCAATCAAGTCACTCAACTATTTAAATGCCTTTAATTATACCACTTGTTGTTAATATTTAACCGAGAAACTGATGCGATAGTTAAAATATTTGATATAATTACACATTTAATTATTGTTACTTATATATTCTATCAATTTAGTATAAATTTTAATAAATTAAAATGAACTCATCCTAAATTCAATTGGCTGTAACATTGGTTGTTTGCTATTGTCGTAAAATAAATTTTCCTCTGACATTTAATCAATTGCTGTCAAATCAATTCTCTAGTAAATTTGTTTGCAATTGCTCATAAATTATAGTTAATTCCCCTATAGTTTTTAACTCATCCACAAACATCTACATCAAATTCATCATCTTATCAATGTGGGCCATATAATTGAAATACAACAACATTTTAAGTTCGGAATTTGGATATGAGAATTTAAAATTTAAGAATTCTAATTTCAAGATTTAGCTATTTAGAAGATTTCAACTTTAAAATAGAGGTTTGTATTTTTTTTATAAAGATTTTAAAATTTGAGATTTTGAAAAAAAATATTTTTAATTTGAATATTAACGATAAGTGTCTTAATTGAATGCATTTAAATAGTTAGTGACTTGATTGACAAAATTTCAAAAATGGTGGTCGAAAAGAAAAGGGGCAATAGTTAGGTGATCATTGGTATAGTTTACCCTTTAATTTTTAAATAATTTACCTTTAAATTTGAGATAGAATTCCCACATCCTGACATTCTTGGTCTTGAACCCGATACCTCAAAGAATCAAATAATTCCTTTACCATCGAGATCATTTGGTTCGTACTAGTCAACAAATTGTTATCGCTTCAAAATAAATACATTTTTATCTTAAAATGAGACGTTGTAGCCCAAAATACTTAAAAAACATGACCAAAATGACTATTTAGTCAAAAGTTAGAGACTTTTTGTCCTAAAATAAATTTTGGAGGCCAAAATGATAAAAAAAGAATATGAGTCAACGTGACTATCAAATGATAGTGATACTTTTTTATATTATACATTGATTTAAATGTTTGGTGTTTGTCAAGATGGACTTAGGTATGCATCCTTTAAATATTTTAATTTTTCATGAAATTTGAGTATTTTTCTTATATTTTATATTGATGATCTAATTTTGCATCACCTTATATATATGAATTTTAATATAACTTCTCACATACAAACCTATTAACATAAAATCATACGTCGTGTAAGTGTGGTCTTCTAGCGTTTTTATTTTAAACTTATCTTGGAGTATCCAATTGCTAACCAAATCTTAAATGAGTAAAATGAGAAAACTGCACTTAAAGAACTTCCCAATATTGTCCATATTGAACATTCATATGTTAAATTCTGAGTTTAGTTACAAGGTCACACAACTTGTACGAAATTTGATGCTAACTCTTCAGTTTATTCCGGTGCCGATATATGCATCGACTCGGCTTCTTGCATTCCGATTGCTTAACCGATGCTGCAAAACAGTCAAAAAAATATTAGAACGACGTCAGTTTCCTCGATCACTAATGCAATCAATAAACACTAATCATGAAATGGAGAGGGTAAGCGTTACTGTTTGCAGTCATCGTCGGAGGGATACAAGGGCACGGGGAAGGGAACATAGAAACAAATCACGGGAAGCATCTTCGCTCGGTCGGGCTTGTATTGATCGCGCACCGCGATCTTCCGAATGCATTCGCAGATGGTCCGACGAGTTTCGAGTCGGGTGAAGTCGAAGGAATAGTACGTGAGGTACAAACCATTGCAGCATTGGCGATCGGGTCGGTCTACTTGGCCCACCAAGTATGGTTGCAAAGGTTTAAGAAACCCTGTACGCAATCCTCGCATGTGGCTGCTCGAGGACGATGAAACGCCCGCACGGAGTTGAAACTAATGATGAACACTAGCCCCCAAACCCATAGAAACGAAGAGAAACGCATTATTTTCTTCTCCATTTTGCAACTCTCTTCTTCTTTGCAAAAAGAGTAGGATGAACAAATTTTATACTGAAACCTGGCTAGTTGCTTCTATTTGATAGGGCCTATAAAGTTGATATATTAATGCACATAATTAATGTTTAGATTTCATGTATTAATGCAAATAGTTTAATTTTGGTGAGTAATTATGTTTTAATTTAATTATTTGAGTGGAATCCCATCTGTCATTAATTCTTAAATTTTAATGAGAGCTGTACCTCTTCAGATTTATTTCAATGATCGAAGTTTTTTGGAGATATAAATCTTTTGATCAACTACAATCCTTTAATACTACTTCTGATAGACCCATGATGTCGCATTAAATATATTATATGGCGACCATATTAATTTATTCTACCAACTTACGAGTAACCATTATGAATTTTCGTATGATATCAATACTACAAGTCACTATAAAATCCCTCAACTAAGTAAAGAAAGATTCTTGATTCTTCTCTCTCTGCTCTTATCTATCATCATAATTCATAATTAATCATCTACTATAAATCACTTGTTGGTCTCTCCGTCCAAATCAAAAAGATAAACTGCTTATAGCCGTTACGATTTAAATATTTTTATCAATAAATCATTAAATTCGATTCATATAATATTACAACAAAGATAATTAAGGAAGGAACTATTTAACCAATTTCGATAGTATATAATATTATAATGGAGATAATTAAGGATTACCAAACCAATTTAAATGTTTAACACCCGCATTCACAAAGTTCATGTAGTAACAATTATCCTATAAAAGATATTTCCTAGAAAAATAAAATAAAGTATAAAATCCAAAATTTTAAAATGAATTTTAAAATAAATTAATATATTTGAATTTATACATTATCGGTTGATATTGTGAAATTTATTTAATATTACCTATTTATTTTGAAAATATTTATCTTATTTAGGGTTTTGATTATATAGTCTAAGATTTTAAGATTTAAAATTTGTAATTTAAGATTTAGAATTAAATTACATATTATGTAAAATAATGTTACGCATTCTATGTATATATATATATATATGTGTGTGTGTGTGTGAGAGAGAGAGAGAGAGAGAAAGATATGATTTAATTACATCTTCTAAAATTATTTTAGAGTTATATGAATTTAGGAGTGAAAATAGACAATTAAAATTAACAATAAGTGAAAAAAATTAATTAAG